GTGCCTGTTTGAGTAGAAACATTTAAAATTCAGTGATTGTTTAGTTTATATTTCATACTCAGGTGGTTCAGAAGAAATTCTAATTCATTATGTATCGTGCACTGTTGTAGTCTGATTAGTTCTAATCGATCTAACAGAAATAATTTTGACTGAATGTAAAAATTTGGACTGTTATATTGGAATTTTATTTTATTTTAAGGACAATCCTTCAAATGGCTTCATTATGTTATGAAATATATTGCTATGAGTTACATCAATTAGATGACATGATTGGTTGGCAATAGAAATTGAGAGAAAAAGTAGTATAAATTTATTTAAAAACAACGTAACTTACTTTTCTTTATCTCATGTCTATTAAAAATGATACCCAGAGGAAACTGTTTTCTATTCAACGAATTCAATGAATTAATTTGACATATAATTAGAACTAGTTTATATAACCTAACAGTCTCTTTCATTTGACAAGATAATCAGAGATGGTTTTACTGATAAGTATTTAAATACAGGATCATATTTACGGAAACTGACTTGACTTCAGTCACATTATTTGAATGTGTCATTTTTAAGTACATTCCACGACAATCTATTCTACCAAAGAATCACAGTCAGCCTAAGATTACCCATACACGGCTAAAGCTTTCATTTACTTTATTTTGCCAATTAATCTGAAATATTAAAGATTCCCATTGTGAAAATTAGAACAACACATATAAGCGAACAATATTGTTTTAGATTAGATTGTCATCAGGCTTTACTTTAATATACATGAATATTTGTGAAAATGTCAAACCAATCAATCAATGAGAGTCACTGTCTAATTATGTACACAGTTCTTATTACGTAATGGTTTTCATGTTTTGTAATGGTTATTTCAAGTCTATTTATCCACGTTTGACCTACTTTTGATAAAACTTTTGTCACCGTATTTTATTTTTCTTACTACTATCAGTAGGCCTATCTTCCTACTATCAACTTGTACTTTTGCCGATTATGTGTAGTGACGTGATCTATTTCATCTCATTGTGATCATTGACTCAAATTGCCTTGATTGGTTTAACATTTTCACATAAATATTCATGTATATTAAAGTAAAGCCTGATGACGATCTAATTGAAAACAATATTGTTCGCTTATATGTGTTGTTCTAATCTGAAATAATCATAGTTTCTGAAAGCGTTCAAAGTAAATAAGGTAAGTATTACAAAGAAGTTTACAGATTAGTTTTAGTCAACCATTGTGATTTCTATGGTTGAAAGATTCTTAGTAGTTACCAAACCGAGGATATTCACTCTGTGTATCAGGAATGATAACTTCAAACCATTTAATTGAATCTCAGTGCTCTTTCTATTTCAGTTTGCTTAATTTTAATGAATCGATTTTCCCAGTGGTGGTAGCTTCATACGGAAAGTTCTGGAGTTTCTTCTTCAACTATTTACTAATCAGAGGATAAAATTATCTCAAAATAGTTTATGAAGATTATTAGTTGAATGATAAATCTGATCATGAAATAACCCTAGAATTAATTATTAAAATGCACTGATCTCAGATTGAGTAGTTTTAATATTACTAAATAAATAAAAAATACATTAGCTTATCATTGCAACTTATTATTTTCATAGTCGATATCATTCTTTTTTTATTTTTTGTACTTCTAATCATTCACGTCAGTATATCGTAAAAATTTTACGACTTAGATAAATCAATTAAATTGTTAAAAATAACTGTGCTCATTTCTTTTTTATTGTACATAATCATGAACAATTTTAATTAGATAAATATCAGTTTTATTCAAACTAGAATATTAACCAACAATAGTCAGATGAGTAATTAATTCTTAAATAATCATAGTCAACGTAAACTCCGATAAAAAATATGTGTAAGTTCAACTTATTGTGCCACATCAACACGGAATAGATTGAATTATGAATAATACATTGATTTAACTTGACTTAATACACATTTACTGAGATCATGATCCGATCTAAATTAGATTATCATCGGGAAACTGGAAGTATTGAATTGCCTAGCATAAACGTTCTCGAAAACGTGCATCCACGAGCCCACTACTAGGAACTGAACTCAGTACCTCAAGTTTCATGTTCGAATATTAAACTTTCAGACTATTGACCCAGGATCCAATGACTACAAGTTTAATGTTGATCAATCTACGTAACCATCTTACATCGCCTTCACTGGGTACCTTACTTATATACACGTTTTAACTTAGTTTGGACTAAACAATAACAAAGTATTAAACAGATTTCATGGATTTACTTTCGAAACTAGATCTGACCGGATTATTTAGATTATAAGTAGGACATTTAAAATCAAAAATCTATACTGATAAAACTGTTGTTTTCCTAGCCATATACAAAACTCATATTGGATTTTTTATGGTCTGCACCAGTATAGAAGAGAATTTTCAAGCAAGCGCATTTTTTTCAAAAACATGTTCAAACACTACTATAATTTTAAAAACCAAACGTTATAAACCTTCACACCGCTGGTTCACTGAGTAGTTTATTTTTTTATTTGTGCTGAGTGATTACTATTACCAAGTTCGATGCAAAAGGTATACACTCCTGCTTTTGTAATAACAGTCATGAAAAATTAGTGATTTGAATCGACTTCTGAATCCAACTACATCAATACGGTGTTGGGAAGCCCCGAAACATCTCTTAGGAAAGTCTACAGAGGTCCAGAAACACCAGGAAACATTCCATCCAATCAGTATTAAATGGAGCCTCTGCAGAAACATCTGGAAATACAAGATCAAGTGCCACGATTCTGATTGGATATTTAATCATACCGCTACCATATTTAGTATGGTTCTAGAACCTTCCATAAGTCAAAAGTCATGAGCAACTCTATAAATATCCTCCCTTTCCTGTACATTATCAAACCTTGGAGTAAAGAGTTCTTCAAGTACTTTGTGGCTTTTCTCTTATGTTCAAGCTACAGTGTACATTTAGTCTGGAGTTATTAAAAGCGGATAGGAATTCAGATCTTCCGTTTATCTAATAGACATGTCACAATAAAATTTTGTTACTTATAAGAGTAAATTACATGATTCTCTTCATCTCATCATTATTGGAACTTATTATATTTATAGTTTTTGATTTGATATTAGTAGTATTTATGTTAATTAGTTCATATCTCTATTTCAAAGTACCTTATTGTTCAAAATCACCCAGATGTACCAACCAATGAACCTTCTGACAAAAAGTCCTATAATTTAATTACATGAATCTGAAATACTTCTCTATATATATTTTTGATTGAGCACCAACACCAATATATGTAGTCTAATTCACAATAATTATGCACTGATAACTGTAGAACCTGATGAAAAAAATTATTGAAAACAACTGTTCTCTCAAATATTCTTTGCTTGTGAATAAATATAACAGACGGTTTATTATAATATTTACTTTTCATTTACTTTATCGCAAGAGGGGTACTACAAACAATGTGAAAATTCTAAATCAATAAATGTTAATTACATAAAAGTATACTTGATAATTTACTAGGAATTAACTATTACTGGAATATTATTATTGTATCTGACAGAAACACTTTCTATGCAGAACATTAGGAATGATGATGTGTTTACAATCAATTAATAAATAAACCAAAAACTTTAATTGATAAATTAACAGTAGATGTGAATTTCACAAAACACATAGTTTTTTAAATTGTCTTATATAACCAGGTATTTTTATCATTGTCAACAATATAATAGCAAGTGTACTATTTAGGTCAATTAATAGACGCATTACTACTTACCAATAATGTGAACAATATTATTCTATCGTAGGCAAATAATTATCTAAGTTAATTATCGTGGTGAACAAACTTCTACTACACTACTTTATTTAAAACAAAGAAATATCTTAATCATGCTTAGTGCTAAATGTATGTGATGTATCTGTAGGCCATTGGAAGAGACAACTTTCAGGTTGGACTCCTCTATCGGTTACAGCATAGACCGGCACTCTGTCAGAAGAGATCCAATAATGATTGGGCCGATAAACTACCGTTAGTCATGTCAGGTTCAAGTTCGACAAGATTGTTAGGACATTCATTAAATATCCAAATAGAAGTATTTGTGGGTCTAATTCTATTGGTTAATTCCTATTGGTCGTCCTAACTATCAATGTCACATAATTCAAATGTTGTTTCCTATTCGACCTAACTGTATAAATATGCAATGGCCGTACCGTTTGATGATCCGGATCCTTATCCTCTTTAGGACTCAGACCGCGTACTTTCTGGGTCCTTGTAGAATATACTTTCTACTTTATATCAAGTATTTTCTCCTATTTATTGGTGTTTGGGACGCTAGAATTAGAGTAGCCTGTCGAGTTGCTGGATCATCGATCCTCGCGCTCGTTTACCGACTTAGGTGAACTCGTAATAGCTCAAGCATATAAACTGACGAACTTAACAAAGATATAGGATGTTGTCCAACAGAGTTAGCTTATGGAACTATTCTACGTCTACCAGGAGAATTTTTGGCTTAACGTAAGTGTTCCAACTGATATAGCCAACTATGTGCAACGTATAAAACAGATGAATGATTAAATAATAACGCTTACAGGCCAACATTAACATCAGGTATATTTACCAGAGCAACTGAGTAACAGTACCCGTCCTCATCAGAAGTGTTAGTATACGGCATGCCTTACAACCGACCTACGACAGCCCGTTTAGAGTGATGAGAATAAACGATAAAACTATTACAATAGGCAAAGCTGGAAAAACGGATGTAATTAGCATCGACCAAGTCAAACAAGCGTTCATCGAAGATGCTGACCGTTCTAATGATGCTGTCCTTTAAAAAGGTTAATGGAAACGCTGAATCAAATTAAACGTAAACAATCTGAAATATTGAATACTTCAATTCACATCACAAATACTTATTGTTTCAAATACAATCTCATTAGTCCCCCAAAACTGCAGAAGAAACCAGTAATGTAATTTAGTATTTATAAAATAAAATACTATTTACATACAATATTTAAAGTTGAAATTTATCATCACGTAAATAAAAACCATAATACAATTTCATGTAAAAAAAACGTAAGTCAACCAAACATTTAGGTTTGATTATAAATCGTCTAAGTACTTTGTAACAAATAGTGATAATACATAGTGATAAAGACAAATAATAGTAAGATAATGAAAAAAAACAGTCATCAAAGGAAAGACAAACAATGTAAAAACAAGTACTTTTTGTGGCGCGACTCAATGCAAGTTTTTTTAATTAGACTAATAAGTTAAAAGCAACACGTCAGGAATGATTGATACTATTCACACGGAAAAATATTGGGATAAGTGAAATGAATTCATCGATTTCATCAGTTGAATAAAGCGTCATTAGAATGATGTAATATAACTCTGAAATGTAATTATAGCTTACTTCAAAGTTAAAGCGCAATTTCAATATCTACTGACTATCTGATGCAAGCAAGAAAATATCAGAATTTTCGAAAATATGCACATTTTTAGGTAATGATTTTTCATGCTGTTCAGATGAATCAATTTTTAACTGGGAATTAAATGGAACATTAATCATAGCCTTAGCAAGGATATCAATTGGTGTTGTTAATAATGTAGGTGTAAGATATGCTACAGGTTTTAATAAAATTTTAAAAGCTCTTTCAGCTGGTCGTGACTCAACACGTGAACATAATAAAGTACCGGGACGATAGATTGCAAGACATTTCGGGAATAAATTAAGCGATATTAAATCTGATTCTATTTCCCCTTTGAGTTTCAGATAAAAAATCATGCTGTTTTTATTCGCACCCTAAACAACAAACAGAAAGAAAAGAAATAGAAAAGTAACATATCAAAAAACAAAATAATCTTCGACAGACTACTATTTCTGAATATAAAAATGTGAACAAAACTTTTTGTTTAGAAGAAACTTAGAATAAGCAATAAATTTAACTGTCAACTGAAGCGATAAGTTTGAAAGTTGTTTCTTAGTTACTTTATTTTTAAGAAAATTTAACTGAAATAAACTCATGCACTATGTATTTGGATACAAGCCATACCTGAAGAGCGTGAGGCCTAGTGTTATTATTCGATTGCTCAAACTGAAGTAGGTGGAGTGCGGTTCAAACCTGAGATTTAGAGGCCGAAAGTTGAACGGTTTAACTATTACGTCACTGACTCACTTCACTTACAAATAATCAAAACCTAATAATCCTGCATAACTGAAGAGTGTATAAACGCGTGACTACGTGAGAGCATTTCTAGGGGGGGGGGAGAGGACTCTCCACCGTCGACCTTACCAGGGTATTTGGGGGAAATCTTTATTTTAAGGATTTAAACGAAAGAAAACAGCCACTTAACTAAGTGACTAAACTGAATGGAATGTGTATATGAGGCTTAATTAGGAAAGAGAAATAATCAACGGGCATACATAATTTCAAATCTTGGACAGACGAAATGTGTATAAAACTGTTTCAATCACCAAAAGAGCACTATGGAAAATATTAGTTTTCTCCACTGCCTTGTTGAGTAGACTTATAAATTATGGACTAAGAATGCTATCAAATTTAACCTACTGATTTTATTCAGGAATACAGATCACGGCAAAACTACGGTGCTATCTTTTTACCTGTCTACTGCGACTAAATGAAGTGTAATCATTTAGGAAGTCCGATTGAGGACAAGTCTTTTCACTGTCAGTAGTGTTATGCCACTTAACAATTACGTGTAAATTTTTTTATTAAGTGATGACTACGTGAAAAAAATGAAATGATAAACTATAAACTATTCGCATTGATTTTTTGAATATTTCGAATGATATTTAGGGCTGCAATTGATTAGTGTCTGGCTCGACTTAGTGGCTAAGTGGATGACGTGATGGCGTTTGAAACTAATGACACTAGATTAAAATTCCGGAGAAAGGAAACGCACATCCTGGATTCCGCTGCTAGCCATCACCCATCTCTGATCAAATTAACAGTACGTTTTACCAAAAATCGTCGTAAATGATGGGGAATTCGTGACTTACTTTTGAAGTAACAAGATGAAATTCTTGGCAACCAGCTGCAGAACTTAACTTTGCAACATGAATTACATAGTCATGGTCTATAATCCTCATTTTTTCCTTTCCTGACTTTCTCCAGGTTGTTCCAAGAGCACAAAAGCCTACATCAGTATCTTGAAATACTTCTTGATATTCGTCTAAACGGTCAAAATCTATAATAACCTGAGTGAAACGATTTTCAGCATCTTTACTGCCAAGACCATAATCAACTTCGGTTTTACGCCTTTGAATTAATTTGATAGAACTGTATCTAGTGTCTTTAGCTAAGGCTTTTATCAATGCTTTTCCTGTTTCACCAGTACTACCGACAATAAATGCTCTCAAACTAGCCATATAATGTTTTGATATATCGTTCAAACAGCAAGAGTTTGCCAAGTTATTAACCAGTACAGTTGGGCGATTCCAGAAGCCTGATGATAATACAAATTCAATGCACGATTAACCAAGGTACTTGAGGACATCAAATAGTGAATTATGGAGTAAGATATAAAACAACAAACAATACTATAGAAATAGGTTAGAAAATTCGTTTGAGATTGATTTCACTAACATAAAAAAGCACTATTAGTTTGAATCCACATGATACGTTATCGACCGCTGTCAGCCTGGATATCGTGAAAAGCTATATACTCCTTCAATCAAGCAGTAGTAACTAATGTAGAGAGCTGCACAATTGTGTATTTATTCCTATCTTCCATTCACATTAGGAGACATTCTTGTCACATATTTTTACTTACTAGACACCTTATAAACTGTGATTGTTTCAGGCACTGATCGATGATAATCATACTTTTCACTTGCAATGAGGACGTGAGATAAGCAACCCAATGTTGTCAATACTTTTTTAAACTGTGATTAGAACTCCTGTAATTGGAGTTTATGAACCACTTCTTAGTAAGATGAGCAGCACGCAAGTAGTTTCTTGGGGGGAATGAGGTCAAATATCTGGGACATTTAGATAAGAAACAGGATATCTCAAGTAAATTTTGGTGAAAGGAAGACTATCTGGCGTACATTAAGGCAGGGATACATGTGTGTATCGAGAAACTTTGCCTGCGTAAATACATTTAAGCAAGTCCATGTTGTTCCTTGGGCCCTGAATCACGCTACTAGGTCACTAAGACCAACTCTAAACCAACCTCATTTTTAGTTTCTTGAAGAAGAGATGCCCTCCCACAGTGTGGGAAGCTGGGAAGTGACATCAGCCATCATACCTGCAACAGCAGACTCAGTCATTTTTTGCCTTATTTGCACGTTACAACTTAGGTTGCAGTATCCTGAGCAAAAAAGGACAGAGACGATTTTTTCTGGCTGAGTTAAGGTTTTGGTCGTCTAATCTGTACCAAGACTACTGTTCCCAACTTAACTGCATTAATTTCAACCAGTGATACCAAGAATAATTTGTTCAAAATTATTTTTGTCCATAGTCCTACTGAAAGCAACGGTCTTTAGGTTCATCGCACCTTTTAAGCTTGGTGTTCGGAGGTTCACACTTAATTTAACTATTTAGGTTATCATTTCTCGCCTGTTTTTTCAAGGCTATCTGCAAACCTTTGATTGATGACTGGACAAAGCAAACCGGTTCTATTCGGGCGCTATCGTAAGCCTTCGCAATGGTTATTGCTGATTTAAAGCACATGAGCAAGCGCCTCAACTGAAGTAAATTTGATGGCACCTGCTCCATCAAAAAGCAAATCCATATCTAGTCACCTCAAATAAACTTAAAGTCAACTAACTCACGTGCTCTGAGGAATCTCTGAAATTACTGAGGTCTCAGAAATGCAAACTTAGTGCTTAAGCATCAGGTGGCAAAAGTCAGGAAACCCCTAGTAAGCCTAATCATATGTTCAAGTCCGTTTCTGGAAAGAATAACTCAATGAGCTGAAGATTTTTCAGGATCTTAAAACGTATGTAACGCTAAATTGACTGAAACTCTAATGTAAAATGGTGAAAGGATATAAGTGAAGAGTAAGAGATGACCTAGTATTACACACGAAAAGTTATTTTCTTAACTGGGTGACTAAAGAAACAGGACACTTGTCTTACGTGCAACCAATAAGAGCGACAGTCCTGAGCCCAGAATTCGGTTTATGCAAGATAACAGGTTGATAAAAGGTCTGTTTTACTACCTAATACACCAAGATAGCTCAGGAGTCACCTTGTTAAGTGTCTGCAGACTAAGAAAACTAGACGGATTTGAATGAAAATGGAACAAAGATGCTTAAAGTGGCATTTAAAAATCTCATTGAAAGGGACCAAATGCTTAAAGGGTAAACATTTTTTGTCCATAAAGACTCGCGACGTGTTGCTCGCTGACAAAATGAATTCGCTTTTCAGAAGGCGATGAACTAAAAAAAGATTAGATGCTGGTGAAATGGATCTTAGAACCAAAAATCTCAGGGTGGTTAGGCTTCAGTTGTGATTCCAAGTTAGTATTATTACCAACAAGTGGACACACACTTGTTAATAAAATGGGTTGGTGATAATGAGTAAACACAAAATCATCACATTAGAGATTCACAGATAATCAAAACCAGGTAGAATACAGTTTCAAAAGAGTTACTCACATTACTCTGAAGGTCAGGTTTCGTGGCTTTACGGCAGGTCGAATTGCGACTATCTTTTAAACTATCTGACAAGAAAAGAAATTTATTCTGTCTTCTGAGTCTAACTTTGTTATATCGGAGATTTTAAACTCTACATTAAGGTAGTAGGGTATAGCGACATTAGAAATCAGTTTTTAGTAACCACTTTAAAATCTCACATCCTTTCTTTCTTTGTAGCTTCATGTGCTTGGATGTTTGTATTCAGTATTGCCTATTCAGCAGCATCGTTTTGAGAGCGGAGATAGGTGTTCGGTTGATTGGCGCTTAAGCCACTTATCGTTGTTCATATAAATTCTATCCACGCTTTTAAAGTTTCCATCTTATTGTTTATAGGCTGTGCTTGAAGAATATGACTGTTAAAATACTCCTTTATACAGCTCTATACTACCTGAGTTTATTGGTCCAGATCATTTGTCGGTAGAAACGTGGGAAGAGCACTTTGAGGGCTTTCAGAAATGATCAACACAACTGATATTCTGTTGCTTGAAATGATTCAATTCCAACTTTACCTGTAAAGAAAGTTTCAGAATAAGGAACTTATACACAGGCACAAAAGTTTACCCGGTATTCACCAATAAATAACTGCTCTAATTGTGCTTTCATGTAGATCAGTAATTTATCTTAGAAGAGGCGTAATACATTTCCTAAAGCCGTGTTACACTTTATGGAAGATGTTGTTCTTATCCATGCACTCCCTCATTTGATCATTCACCGGTCTTTCATTGCCTTTTGTTATATTGGTAGCAATACGACTAGTCTGTAACAGTCTGGTTCCTTCCTATTTCCTCCTCTAAAGACTGGAGAGAGAGTCGTTTGTTTCCATGCAGCTAGGAGTTGATGTGGCTTCAGTAAATGCCTGAACTGGTCACATACTATTGAGCGTTGGGTTGTTTCAAGACTATAGGCTGAATAATGTTACATCCTAGGTACTTTACTGTGGTCAGGGGTTTCAGTTCTATTAGTACTAAGTCAGGAGTAAGTCTAACATTTCCTAGGCCATCAGAGGGTTGTAGGTTTGTTTAGTACTGGGAACTTTTAGGTACCTGGTTTAATTGGTCGGTGAAGTTAGTATTAAAGATCTCATCCATCACTAGGTTGGTAAAATCTTCTCCATTTAGACCTCTGCGGATACAAACGCCCTGGTTCGTCGGATTTCTTTCAGTCACAGACGTACACAGATAATCATTTCGCCTGCATTTTAGCCTCTATCTTTGCCTCGAAGCGTCTCCTATCACTCCGAAATTCGGTATTGCATCTGTCTCCCAATGCCAAATAAGGAGTACGGTAGAAGTCCTCCAAAGGGACTTTCCGCTTGTGCCACGCTCTACTTTTCCCCTATAGTAAGCGTTTAATGCCTCGCTTAACCCAAGCTATATTCCTTGGTGTGTGGTGTGTTTGAGGTACATTGTTTATGACTGCATTCTGGACTATGTATCTCACTCTGCTAGTAACCATCTACTGTTAGCCTTCACCATTTCCGTAGCCATGTGGGGTGCAGAATATGCTCTCTCATGCGAGTGTAATTTGATCTTGTGTAGCAATCGTTGTGCTCGTTTTTATTCCGCCAGAATATTTTGTTTATGACCACGTTAAACATAAGTGCGAAATGGTCAGTATTTCATAATGTTGCGTGGACATTTGTTTACAGGTAATTTTAGTTTGGAGGTTTACCATCCTTAGTACATCTAGTGTCGCGGCATACATGCTTAGTCATTCGAAGACTTTTAATAGCTGTGCCAAGTTGCCTATGGAGCCGGTCTGGATGAGTTGTATCCCGCTTGTTGAGATTTACAGACGGAGTTTCGATATCTCCAAACACGTGTTCTGTGCCATTTGTGTTGAAGCAACAATATTGTGACTCTGTCAAATCCGTTGGTTGGGTGCCTTGTAGTGTTTCGGCTTTACCATGGCTTTTATTATATATCGTCATTCCGCCTGCTGTCTTGGGTACCCTATCGGAAAAGTTGAATCTCTTGCGATCTCACTTCGTTGTCTGTAGTATCAGGAGATAGCCATGTTTCCGTTGGGACTGTGATCTTCGGGTCCATCTTAAAGCACATTTTCCTGGTCTCTTACAGCTCGCGCATTAGTTGTCTCAAGTTTCTGTCTAGGCACTTGAAGGTTTATCTCATCAACTGGTGCACCTCTGATCTCTAACATCATCCTCAATACCGCAAACACTGGAAAAACATTCCCAAGTAGCAATCATAATGCCGTCATATGGAATCTTCATATAAAGACTACAGATTCAGGTATCGAGGTTGGTTTCTTAGTTTCAACCTTGTTTCCGACGAACAAAAATGATGTATGTAAGATCATAAAATTTGGAAGAACGAACTTATTTGAGGATCATGTCGAATTAGCTTACAGCCTAAGTCTAAAAATTTCAGTTAAAATATAACCCAGGTTCAAGATTACCATGACCTTTTACCAATCTACCTGCAGCGAAACGGGACAGATGTCGTTTAACCACAGCAAACGTGAGATTATGCATTTTGTTGAACATCACCACGGAATACTACTACATTAAGACATTTGCATATTCTTTACCTTGCGAGGGACCTATTTTCACCAACCTACACAATGGCAATCAAGCAATAAGTGGTCCATTCGAGAAAAAGAAATGTTCAAGTAATTATACCCTAACGTTTTATTTGCAAATGCATCTGCTGAGGTATAACTCAAATCCGAATACAACTTTTACTGTTCTGCTGATTATCCCTCTCCCTTTCCTTGTCTTTTTCTGGACCGTCGGGTAAACTAACAAAAGCGCATATAGAACAGATCACTTAGTCATACGCCTCATATAATAGGCCCGATAATCCCGGCGACTTTCAGTTATGTTTCAAATAAACTTGAAATAGCGAGAGTTGTGATTGACTATAACCACCACTACGGAACAATAATATGCCCAATACAGAGAAGATAAATAATCCATGTTGAAGAATATATTTGTTGGCGACTTCGGTATTGAAGAAATACCGAAATCGTGCCAGAAAAGAGGAGCGAAATTACAGAGACAGTGGAGTCGAAACGGCAGCAACACAAACGGAAATTTCGCGCGTACAGAGTATAATAGACAAAAAGTACAGTAAATCAATCGCTAGTACAATTTGTTATATTATTGAATATTTCCATTCCATCTTTCTCTTCATAAAATTGGGTTCACTAAAAGCTCGTTAAATTTTCATCTGGCGAATGTCATCAAAAATATCAGCATGCATATACCTCATCAATTCTTGGTATGTACAGCTCTGTTAAAACTTCGCAATAATTCCCAACCCTCATTTATATGAACTACGTCTATGGGGGTTGAATAATTGATTCAGAGGAGGACACTTCCACTGGATTTCCTGGTTATCACTAGTGCAGCAGCAAAATTAAAAAAACTCTTGCCTCAGTTGCTCTAATTTTCTGAGGTTTATCAGTTCTTTGTTTGACTTATGAGAGGGCTGCAAAAGCACAGGTCGACTTCGCTTTACGTAGAAGGGTGAAGTCAGCTCTCATTTTCTTATATTCTCCCAGACCATCACTGTCTACTATTTTATGTCATTTTTTTATGCAAAGTATTGTCAACTACATTAGTTTACTAGAAAGTGCATTGTGAACTGAGAAGTATTAGCAGGAGTCCCCTGCTTGACATGAATGTAGAGGAGTGACATGGAAGCATCAAGGGAGTTGAGATAAGAAGAGCTTTCTGAAAAGATCAATGTCAAAAACTGATTTTCCTTTAGGCTTATTGATTTCTGACAGAATTTCCTTAACACAGTGTCCTTTTATTCTGTGATGGAACGGTTATTTTGATCGTTTTTTTAAAAGATTTATTAACAGTATTGTCAAATACATTAGATGGAATATGGTTATTGATTCTGCGCACTAACATTTGCTCTAGAGAAACTTTTATTCAGCTATGTGAAATTGCCACTTTCTTCTGTGCAATAGACAGAGTTTTTCTGAGCCACAAACAATCAATAATCATACCACAATTCGAACTTTATCTGTAATTTATGCAGTAATCGATAATGCAGCTAGCCCGCTCTTCAGTCAAAAGTTACTCTAGCAAGAAATCACATAGGGAGAACCAAAAAGAATATTCCAAGGAAAATTCGTTGCAATGACAAACGTTTCCAGCAGACAATTAAAAAGCAACAGTAATCGTTCGCTTCAAATGATCTAGTACATTCAACTTCGAATTACTCTTTCGTCAATAATATAAACAACATGATGCTGTCAATTTTCATAATTTTAGTTAAGTGAAGCTGCCAGTTTGCTCCTTCGTTTATGTTCTATGGAAATACCGACATGACTAAAGTAGAAAGTTGTAGAATTCTTTTTGAATGTTTTGTGTTTTGGAAAATCCCTCCATGTTTACATATTTTTGCTATGACATGATGGACTTTTTCTCTTGACACTTTTGGTATTTTATTTGATTCCAATTTGAGATTTTACCATTGTATGTTGTTATTCTTTCCATATTTTGTACTTATATTGAAGTTTTTGTGTTTGCCTTTGAACTGTACATATATTGTTTAAATTTGATATAATATGGCTACCGCCACATTTTTGGATAGACGCGGTGGCTGCTGGACTTAGTGTCACTTACTAGCTATTGTAATAGATACTCTACGGAGTAATTTAGTCCTGGAAGAAACAAAAATACCGTAAGCCTCTGTATTTCCATTTTATAACAATATAGAGACGTTTTCTCCTAGAAATTTTGACCTTTTGATTTGGCTGGGACCTGGATCTAGGAGTAACGTACAGGAGTGTTTCTATTGGACGCGATTAGGACAGCCGCCGTCGAAATAGATTCTACAGTCTGGTATTTATTCTTCTTGCGTGAATTATACTTGGAAATATTTACCAGAACGCATATAATTTGGATCTATTTGGATTATTAAGAATTACAAGGAAACATTTGGAATTTTAATCGTTTATCATACTAGACTT